GCACTTAAAAGGCAAAAGTGCGAGGGAAAACTAGCTCTCTTCATAGGATTGGGTTTCATATGTGAAAATTAAGCTATTTAAGCTAATTCAGCTATTTATTGGGTTTTTGTTTCTCCTGTTAAAAGAACTTCTTGACTAGCCTCCCAATTTGGTTTTTAAGCATATTAGTATATTATTTTAGTATTTTATATTGTTCACTTTTTATTGTATATGTTTTGATGTACCACTCTTTAGTGGAAAGGGCATTATAAATAAACATTATTATTATTATTATTATTATTATTATTATTATTATTATTAAATATTCTTCAATTGCCTGGAATTTTAGTATTAAATCTAGGCTAAACAGTCTTCATACACCATGAAATAAGCAATACACAATGCTGATGTAACACACCCAGAATCTTGCGATTCTATACTGTTATAGTGAGCCAGAATAATGTGGTTTGAGTACCGGACTACAACTCGGGAGACCAGGGTTCAAATCCCTGCTTGGCCATGGAAACCCAGACTCTCTCAGACTCAAAGGAAAGCACAGGCAAACCCCCTCTGCACAATTCTTGCCAAGAAAACCCTATGATAGGTTTGCCTTAGGGTTGCCATAAATTGGAAGTGACTTGAAGGCACACCTTTGCAGACTGCCAGAAATAGTGCACATTATATTGAGGCACAGCTCTGGCTCAGTGCTAGGGAATCATGGGAATTGTATTTTTTCCTGAGACATTGAGCCTTCTCTGTCAGAGAGCTCTGGTGCCACAATAAATTACAGTTCCCATGATTCCCTAGCACTGAGCCAGGGCAGTGCCTCAATTTAATGTGCACTATTTCTGGTAGTCTGCAAAGGCCTATAGTCATTGGTTTCATTTGAAGCCTCTGTGATACTGCCACACATTCTGAAGGATGGTGGTGTGCGACGCGTGAATTCCATGAAGGCCCTTTGTTTAATGTTCACAGGGTTGCAGAGAAGAAATGGAAAGGGTCATATATGCCACTTTGAGCTTGAAAGCGATCAGAAAATGTAAATAAAATAAACAGACACCAAATCCACACACAGTTATGCACACCAGCATCCTGTTGGAGCCAATTCAAACAAAAATCTATCAGTGATACCTTTACTAACCAACCAAAATGCAAAATGTACTTGTTGCAAGCTTTCAAAGCTCCATGGGCTTCTTCATCAGGCAAGATGTAAGGAGATTTGCAAAGTCTAGGAAATTTGAAATCCCTATAGCCACAGAGCCAGAAGGAGGAGGATCCTGCCTACAAAAGATATCCTCCCCGCCATAGACCATCTTAACTAAAGATTGAAACAACATGTAGGCATCTGACTAGCATCTCCAATTGTTTTCTCCTGTTTGGTTTGTAACATCTTTCCTGATGATGAAGAAGCCCATGGAGCTACGAAAGCTTGCAACAGGCATATTGTGCATTCTGGTTGCCCAGTAAAGGTATCACTGATGGATTTTTGTTTGAATTTGGTAAATGGCCAACACAGCTACCCCTCAATGTTTCATATGGGAGCCAGCTTTTTTTATTTGTCAATGGAATTCAGACCAATGTCCACTAGATGGCATGTCACTCCAATTTTACATAGAATTGCCACAGTTTACTCTATTTGTTCCTGCACAGAAGCACAATATTTTAATGTACTTCTCTCTGAAGGCACAAATGCTCTAAATGCACCAGATCCCATCTGATCTTGGAAGCTAAATAGTGTCAGTGCTGGCTAGTACTTGGATGGGAGACTGCCAATGAATACCAGGTGCCCTATGCTGTATTTCATACAATCATAGAGTTGGAAAAGACCCCAAGGGAAATCCGGTCCAGACCCCCTTCGACCATGCAGGAACTCTCAATCAA